GAAAAGCGTAGTAGAGCATCGACAGAGAGGAAGGAATGCGATTCGGTGGACATTGACAGGGGATGTTTTGAAATCGGGGAGCCGTGGGAGGAGAGAGATATGGAGTGTGTGTGTGTGTGTGTGTGTGTGTGTGTGTGTGTGAGAGAGAGAGAGAGAGAGAGAGAGAGAGAGAGAGAGAGAGAGAATCGTTTGTTTATAGTTGTGTAGGTCCTGTGGGACTCCCCGCTGTCGACAATACCTTGTTTTGTCACTCGCTATAGGCAAAGAGATGGCTGCAGCGACGTGCCTACCTCAGTAGGTACACCCAAAAGGTGTTGAGGGAGAACGCCGAGAAATAATTGAACGCACGGCTTCCATTATCGGCGGTGCAACCATCTCTGTGCCAGGCGGGAGAGAGAAATAAAGGTAATGTCACCGGCGCGGAGTGCCAGTTGGGCGGGCTTTCCATTTCTAATCCAAGTCCCAGCGGCGCGCGATTGTCTTCTCTGGGGCCGACTCCCAGTTGCGTGTATATCTCATTTCTGGCCCTAGATTTTGAAGATCAACGGCGGGCGCAAGCGGGGCCCGTGTCTCCGAGCTCCAGCCTGGCAGCGTCGATCGGACGCTAAGTCTGACCTTACAAGCATAGCCCTAACACAGCAGCACCCTAACACGTGAACCGCGGAACATTTACGACTGCAACTGACCGTAATTTCGGCCTAGATGCATCCATGAAAAAAGTTCCATGCCTGCCGGTGAGCAAAGTAAGGAATCTCATAGAGTGGCTTTCTAGGCTCAGCTCAATCGGATGCAGTCGTGGGCCCATGGCACAGCGATCTATCTGTCAATCCGTTTCAATCCGTTTCAATCCGTTTCAATTAGCTTCAATCCGCTTCAATCCGTTTTCTGATTCGTTTGTTAATCCGTCTAGACTACATTGCACACGTGGCGCGTTGATCGCAGAATAGGAAATCCGTTTGCCAATCCGTTTGGCACAATCCGTTTGGCATAATCCGTTTGCCAATCCGTTTGCACACGTGGCGCGCCAGAAGAAAATTGGGAGCAGAGTAAATAGTACTCTGCAAAAACATTGTGCTCTAGGAAAAGTTGAGTTTGGGCCTCGCCCCGCTATTCGACATTTTTTTGACAAGGTGCATTTGATGGAATGGACCTTTCTTGAATGTATGGGATCCATAAAGCGTCCAAATGCATGTAGAGTGGTGTAGTGGAGCGAGGTCCTTCGTGCACTCGGGAAAGATGAGGTAACCTGGGAGAAGTGGGAGGGAGGAGCGAGGGGTGACACTAGCAAAGTGCATTGGATTTTTTAGCGTCTGAATATGGAAGTGCTGTGCGCAGTGATGCAGAAAACCTGATCATTAGACGACGATAATAGACGTTTCCTTCTCTCTATAAACAAGTCCAGATTCGGGCATTCATTTCGATCTTCTTTGCTAGTAGGACCTCGCACAGAAAGGGTTCTGGAGACTATTTCTTCCCCTTCTTTCTTTTC